GGGGGGGGGGGGGCTTGTTTTAGCTGGGGGGGTTTTACAGTCTCATGCACCCCTTCCAGCTTTAAACTACACTGACCTACTTCACGTTTAGGTGAATTCTGATCCCGATTTCGAGCCAGGCGCTGCTGTCCTGCAGACGAGCACAGCGGCTCAGCACATAAACAGGGTGCAAGCAGAACTCGGTCTTCCTTTCTAAAAGAGGAAACACATTTGCTTGTGCAATACTTTCATCTGCGGCTCAGAGGGGCATTCACGACCAGGATTGGGAATCCGTTTCCCCACTTGGTCGCCAGAGACCAATCAAAACCTCGCCGGCTCCGTGAAGCACATGCAGGGACCAATCAGAACCTCGCTGGCACCGTGAAGGACATGCCGGGTCCTCCACCCAAAGCAGCATCTCAAAACAAGGCCCAAAACGGCATGCCTGGGATTTCGAATCCACGCCGTAACCCTCGATTCATGCAGATTCACACTTTGCGAAACACGCTGGGGAAGATTAAACAACAACATTCCGGATGAAATAAAACCTTTTCGTTCCGCCATACTGGATAATTACCTTTTTGGCTGGGCTTTCGATGGCAGATCCTTTCCGGTTTCAAATCTGAATCCGAAAACAGCGCAGGGGTCTCTGCGAAGGTACTGAATCCCGTGTCAACATCGGAATTTCATTTCCGTTTCGGAAGACATTCAACCTTTAATAAGCATGGAGCGCTGACAGGTGGGGCGTGGGAGGGGGTGTCCAAAATGGCAATAATGTTATCGGCATTGTATCACAAAGGCTGCGTTGTACAGCCGATTTCCCTGAGTTAGCTTTGCTTGCCGACACACAAAGCAGCGTGGTGGTAGAACACAACGGCACGGTTTCCATTCAGACCACAAGAGCCAGTTAGCGTCGCGGGTGCCTCACTCACACTGTCAGTAATTTCCTCACAGCTTTTGTTGATGTGAAACTTGATACGCGGCTGGCTGCACAGATTTAAGCGAAGGAAAAACGTTATAGATTTGAAAATGAAAAAAAAAGGAAAAGGACAACAATCCGTTATTGCAGCGTTTCCCAACCCCTTCCTTGGAGACCCCCAGATGCCCCCCCCCCCCAAGGCCCCCTGCAAGGCAGCCTACATCTTTGCTCCAGAACAAAAATGTGGACTGTGTGTGGGTCCCCAAAAACTGGTTTGAGAAACACCGCTTTAAAGTCAGAGGAGAATCTCGAGTAGAGGCTCGCGAGGTCTGTGCCACGCCTAGAACGCGACAGATCCCCGTCTGCTACGTGGAGAGGTTCAGGGCAGAGATGTCAGAAGATGCGTGACCCAGTGTGATCGTTGCCCTCCCCCGTGACACAAGGGGCTCACACGTCGGCCCCAGACACGGCACTGAGAGGTCTGGATGACAGACGCACCCACCACCTCAGCCCGGACCTCCTGTCGCAGGACAGAAGCGATTCAGCTGATAAGAGCAAGACCACACACCTGTTAACGGAGAATGATGACAAAGACCACAAAAGGTCAGCCAATATCAGTCAATGACCGATATTGTGAGAAGAGAAACACGGTATTTTGTTTTTTTTCTCAAATATTTAAAAATTCAAGTGCAATTTCTACTTTTCTAAGTGTACTCTCCCCTCACTCATCACACAACAAGCATTCAGCTAGTCTGCCCTTCAGAAACACCCCCCTGGCTGCTCTATTATCAGGAGGGGGTGTCACTGGCAAATAACTGTGGCTTCGCTGGTTCCATTAGCTAATCAGATGTCGTCTGATATCTCAGAAAGCCGTAATCTTTCTAACCCTAACCCTGATTCGGGCACTTAGGGACACAGCAGGCTGTAGGAAAGTTACATGTAGACGCCCCCCAGGTTTGTTTTTAGCTATGGGGATGAGGGGGGGGGATGAGGGGGAAGCAGAGGGCATCCCAAACACCCTCCCGTCGGATATCGATTCGTGCCTGCAGGCGCCCCAGGGCTGAGGTGGCCCATCACTCGTCGGTGACGCGAGGGGGTCACCGCACCTTCCCATCATTCATCAGGGAGTCGGCGACAGCCGGTAATTACACACCGGCAGGGACCGGTCGCAAACCCAACATGATGGAGGACAACCGTGTTGATACCAGCCACAGCGATGCCGTCTGGTGTAGATGAGACCGCAGGGGCAGAGACTCGAGAGGGGCCGAGCCTTCAGGAAGGAGGGGGCTAGGCGGCGCGCTTGGCCAGCACGCCAGCAGGGGGCACTCTTCAGCCCACCTGACATAGGTCTCCCACCCAGTTCATTTTTACTTTGCCGGCTTCGGTCCCGTTTCTCGCTGGGATTAGCTCCCCCTGCTAATTCTCATACCCAAGTAGGGAACCCCACTGAGATCAACCACAACCACTCTGCTGTACTAATATGTCAAATGATCACGCGACTGACGTCTGATCCACAACAGGTGGAGCGTGACTAGTCTCGGAGCATACGCAATACATTTCAGAGGCGGTAAGTGCCCAGAAGATGACCAGTCACGGGGCGCTCTCCATCTCGGCAGGATGAAACGCGTGTGGCTCATCCATCAGCTTCAAGAATCATGCTTGGGCATGTCACACACAAAAACGACCAAGCACAGCAGCCAAACAAACCTCAATCTGATTAAAAGTTTAAAAAGAAAAACATATAAAGAGCCAAGACACAAAATCACAAGACCCACGCAAGTCTGATCTGGTTTAAAAAAAAAAATCCACTTTCATGGGTTTTAATTATAAGGGCAAAACATCGGCGCACTCAACAGTCAGCGGCAGAGAAGTGCAGGTTGCTGACTGCACAATTCAGTCCCGGCATAGATTACGTCCTTTTAAAGGACGATATAAAAGAATTGCCTGGAGATGCAATATTTACAGCTTGCCAGACTCCAATCGCTGATCTAGAATACACAACGAGCCCCAAACAAGAGGAGGACGCAAAGCAAACTTTTCGGTAGATCATTTAGAAGCAGGACCCAGGCTAAGCATGGCTTCCAAAATATCATCACCTTGTTGTTCATGGCAGTGAACACTAGGATGAGAGAATCTGTCCATGCCTGTGAGCTAAATCAGAATAATACCACAAAATCCAGAGACATCGCTATTGCACACAAGCTCTGGAGAAGTGGAGGAAGGAGATGGGGCAGGGTGTATATATTCACGTTCAGGAAACAACATTTATCCTGATTCAGGCCACGCTAAGGAGACATGACCAGAGGGGGCGCCCAAGAGGCTTCCCTCAATCACTCATCCGTGCTCTTTGTCTTTCCAGCCTCTCGTACCGGACCGGACAGGACACGGCCAACTGCGACACCTGTCGAAACAGCGCTTGCATTATTTACAGGTCAGTCCCGCCTCACTGCCGTCGTGACAAACGAACGTTACGTGACGCCGTACTCTGGGTTCGGGGGAGCAACCCAACCGGCCGAAACCTAGAACCGTGACACATGGATCCGCCGTCCCACTCATCGAGGTTACTGTTCTTCGGGGGGGGGGGGGGGGTGCAGCCTTTGGGGAGGGGGGGGACTGGCACAGAGATGGGGGCTTTAGAGGGGGAGGTAGATGAGTATCACAAATGCACGGAGGCTCCCGGGCAGGGCTAAATGGATGATGCCCCCCCAGAGCCCATGGCAGGAAGACTGCCGGGAGAATGATAGCTTTTTCTCCCCCCATCCGTGATCAGCACTCACTGATGAAAAATGCAGTGCCTCGGCAGGAGGGAAGCGTGACTGCACTTACCGCTGGGGCTTGCGGCACGGCGCGGATTTTCAGGATCACACCCAGAACCCCTCTCAAACATTAGAGCCAAAAACTGATCATATGCTGCAATAATCAGAACTATAAAGTGGTCACAGACTAAAAGATGCTATTAAAATAGCCGGCCCTAATCCAACAACATTCTTGCTTCAAGCACTTTAAAAAATCATTAGGAATCCAGTCGCAGATATTTCCACCATCCCCCCCCTCACTTTCACACTCACTTTGAAGCCTCAAAAGTCAGACACACCTAATGCACACACACACACGACATGGCATGCACCAAGATGCGCCAAGATGCACCAAGATGCACCAACACTAGCAGCAACTCCACCTCTAACCGAGAGGCACTCAGCTGCTCCTATAAATTATCGAGCGAGACAAATGGTTGAAAGAGCCATAACAACCACCACCATGGTTTTAGCACCTCCCCTTTCTGTGAGACCGCAACAGTGCCCCCTACAGGGCTGGCAAAGGCTCCACACCAAGCTGCTCGATAAGAGAAGCGATTCTCATTTTGCTCACGCTGCCTCCCCAGGACCAGATGATCTTCCATTACTTTCCTGCACAGCTTGAATCATGACGACGGAATGCAGAGAGAACACACGGGAACCTTAGATCACGTGTGTGAGCATGTGACCCACGCGGCATATAGGCTGACACTATTCATCAGGCCAGCATGTGCGTTATACAGAAAGCTGACGATGCATTTATGCAGATGGACCTATATATCACAGCACTGTGGGTAACATGTCCAGTGGTATAACAGCTGAGCCCAGGCTTCGTACAGGTGACCTCTACAGGTCACGTGACCTACGTTAAACACCCCTCCCCACCCCCACCTGCCTCCCCTACCAATCAGCTAAGAGCGCCCTCTCTTCAAAGCGTTAAGTGAGCTCATTTGCATATAGCACACAAGCTAACACTTCAGCATCAAATCAAGCCGCTCGGTTCCCACGCTAGCCTCGGGGCGAGCAATTAAATTACACCTAGCTGCACGAAAGCCGTTCTCCCAAGAGTGCCAGCGTGAACCACCCCCGTGCTGCGAAACCAAAACACTACCTCCTGTGACACGAGTAAAATGGCTGCCAACTCAGTCCACCCAAAGACCCATGACACGGGACATGGGACACGGGACACGGGGCGGGACATGCAGAAAGCTTTACTGTCAGTCTCCCCCCGCCGGCTAGTATATCCTCAGCGCGGAAGAGGATAGACGAGGTAAACACCCTCGGCCCAGGCAGACACACTAGAGCTGCAGCGCCACGTCCTGGAAAGCCTGCAATCCAATTATGTCGCACCAAGCCGGCGTCATACAGCACCTTTCGCAGACAGGGGGCGCAGCAGAGGTCAGAGGCCGCTTTCGGCAAAGGTGCTAAACAGGAGGCGCAGATGGGGTACGGGGCTGGAGGAGGGAGCAGGCGAAGTACATACATTCCCTCAGCGAATCGCTCTTATTTACATGCGACGGCTGCTCTTAGTCAGACAGGCTGAGTATACGAGTCGCCAGGGGAGGGGAGCGCGGATACGGTACGGCATTCTCTGTGTCTCGCCGTCAGAAGGGCAGCGAGGGCCTTTCATTTTGGTGGAGAGTAGGTAACAAGGGGAGCTGTGTCACATCACGAGCCATCTTTGATTCCGCTGTTGGCTTTGGTCCATCAGAAATGTCAATCCCACAACGTCAAAAAGATGGAACCACGTTAAACTTCTGAGTGCGGTGACAGTCAGGGGCCAGCAATTCGAACCCGCGCACAGAGATGAAGGCGAGGACAAGAGCACGGCTCTGCGCCATGGCCCAGAAGGTTGGCACGAGCTGCTAACTCCGTCCCTTTAACAAAGACGAGGGTCTCAATCGGCCGTCCTTAACGGGCAAGGCTCGCAGCCGCGGGAAGCAGAAACGGCAGCCGGGGCGCCGAGAGGGGCTGATAACCGCGGCAAGGAGACCCCGATAACCCATCCGTGAGGATAACGAGCCTTTCATTAAAGGCCGCTGGTGAGCTTACAAAAGGCACGACGGCCACCTCTTCACCGTGTCCCGTTTTAATGAGGCCGCGACCGGACACCTCCGACTCTCACCCCCCAGGTGAAAGGGGAGAACGTGTCGATTTTTAATGGTCTTTAACGGGAGCGAGCAGCTTTCAGAGAGCAAAATGAGCCTTAAACTGCACAATACAGACACACATTCAAAAGGACCCCAAAGCAGTGGGTCATCACCTGCAAACACTTACTTTTTGAGATCATTCCAAGCACTAATATAAACACAAATATTTTGGGGCCGCAGACGTGTTGAAACACCTGTGCTGAGGCCCTAATTTTCAGACAGACACCCGTCCGTTATGAGGGAAGGCAAAGAAATTCCTTCATTGCATAACACTGCTCTCATTTACCCATCAACACTGCAGACAGGCAGCCTGCAAAGTCGCTCTGCGACGGGTAAGGAGAAGCAGCATAAAACGGCACTCTGTTTAACGAGCCACAGAAGGCGTTAGCATTCAGACGCTCAGAAACGTCTCCGAGAAGTGCTCCCCCCTCCGGGAACTTCAGACGGCAGGAGACGGCATCTTTAAACACAGGGCCACCTGCTGCCCCTAAATGGGGAAGAAATAATGAACTGGGGAATTACTGAAAACAAAATAATTAGCCATTAGCGCAGACAGCCGTTACGTGCATTTTATGATCAGCGAAAAGCCCTCACGGGCTAACACTCCTATCTTTCAAAACAAAGAAGCGGGTTGCACTAATTCCACACTACACAATTTTAGGCCTGATGTTCTGCTCACCGACAGTTTGTGGAGATCGGCAACAAAAGCACCAGATCAGATGCATATCGTATTCACTTGGCGCTGACAAAATCAGCACTCGATCGCTATTTGTGAACCGTTCCAGGACGTGACCGGACAGTCACCGATACATCGCAGATGCCTGTCAGATATCTCGCAGGCTACCTACGCAGTTGTGACAGACAATGAATGCAGTGATGACTTACAGGCGATGAGAGTGCAAGACACAGGGTGAGGGGAAACCCTGGGAGAGGAGTTTAAAAAGGTGCAAGAAGTTCAATTGTTCGGAGCATTTGGGGTAGAGGTATTTAACAAAAGTTACAGTTCCGTGTCACTTCTCGTGTGTGTTTTTGTAACAAAACGTAGTTTGGAGACCAGAAAGAGGACGGTTGTTGATACATTATGAGTGGAAGCTGAAGATGTTTCCAGCACTGCTAGGGAATGAAAGCATCAGAGAGTGAATTACAGTTTTGGGGGGGCGGGGGGCATGACAGCTGACTAAGCCTCTGTGCAATAAGTCACATGTAGTCAGAATGTTTGTTTTCACATATCCCATCATGCTCTCCTTTTCTCACACACACACACACACACACACACACACACACACACACACACACACACACACACACACACACACACACACACACACACGGCATAGAATATGGGCAATGCAAAGATTCCAGGCTTGTCCAGCTTCCATTGGTTCTCGCCAGATTGGTTTAAATATTTGATGTCTGTGCGAGATGTGGAGGAAGCGGAACTCTGATTATTTACTCGACACAGAGAAATCGCTCTGTGCACACAGCCGGGACTAAGCAGGCCAGCAGAGCAGACAGCCTGTGCGCTATAATCGGCGGCAAGAAATTACTGTACAGTTTAAGAAGATAAGCACTGGTAAGCTGGGAGCACTAATTAATCACAGCACAAATGTCAACACAAAAGGCCCTCGCTGACGAATGTGGAGACGCAAACCTCGCACCTTTAAGGCACATCTTTAGTAACCCCAATGTTGCTTTTTTTTAACCTCCAGGAAAAAACAGCTATAATTTAAAAACACTGTAGTCTGGCTAATTAAAGGGCAGGGTCACAATGGGGCTAAACACGCATTATTGCAACCATTTCTCATTGTCTGAAAGCAGCAGAATCAGCGTAATCTAAAGACGTTGAGCTTTCCTGCACACGGCCAGTCCAGACTTCACCTTCCCCGGGAACACACAGCAGGGTAATAAACAGTCAGGCGCCACCAAACACAGCTTCAGAACAGTCCTTAACGACAAAGTAGTGAGCGAATCCCCAAACATGTAGAAATTTCATTTAAATCTCTTGAAATTAAAGGGAAAAAACCTCATAACCCAATAGACATATAAGGCAGCAGAACAGCAAACCAACCAGAATCAAGCTCCACAATTTCCATTATCACGCTTGTTAAGATGTGATAACCATTTGCAGTCTTTCATTCACCTATTTCCAAAGTAATAAGGCACCTTAAACCTTCCCAAAAAAGGCGAACTCTCAGAATTTATTAATGTGTGTTTTTAATGTCTTCTGCAGTAACATTTGTAGTGTATCAAACACACAGAGCGAATAAAGTGCCGGGTATGCAGCCTTAACATCACACACGACTGCGGTGCTCCTGACGACCTCTGGGGGGCACTAACCGGGACCCTAACTGTGTCCTCCCCCTGTTTCAGTGTGGAGCTGGACTTCAAGCAGCAGGAGGATAAGCTCCTACCCCTGATGAAGAGACTGTGTCCCGACGAGGAGGCTCAGTTTCCGTTGCTGCCTTACGCCCAGGAAGTCTTCACTTCCACCCCCAAACGCAAGTCCAAAACAGAGTCCAAAAAGCACGCCCGCTGGAAACTCTGGTTTCTATGATACATCGATTTCCCCCATGCCTTCGAGGACCTTAAAGCCAATCAGCTCTTTTATACACCTGTATGGACCAATATGACCCGACGCTGCAGTATCCCTGGATATCGAAACGTCCCTTGTGATCTACGCCGGAAGCCGATAACCAGCAGAGTGATTCTATTTTATTTTTTTGTCACCGTCGCCGAAAAGGATTCAAACACATTTCAGACTGATCTGCAGAAACGGGGCATGAAATTGCGACCATGCTGATTTATTTGTGGATGAACGAGGTAAGCGAGGAAATTGGATTTACTCATCCATGGTCAGCTCCGTTCACCCAAGTCGAAAAAGGATCATTTCATTATTTATTTACTTGAGACATTTCAGTCACCTTTGTACAAGTGACTTGGATTTATTTTTTTTTTACATTTTTTGGATTCTCCTGCCACCCCCAACCCCAGCCCTGCTCCACCCATGACGGGATCCTCCTCGGATACAGCAGAGAGCATGAAGTGCTTTTAGGAGGCAAAAGCGCAAACTGGCAAAGCACAACACCTTTTCTAAAATGATCACGATGCATTTTTTTACTGCTCCACGCAGGACGGCATTCCCGCTACGTGACGGATATACATATATGATAGACGGGGACGCCCCCCTGCAGCGTGTGCGTGACGGATCGGAGAGAGAGGAAACCCAAGCGGAATTCAGCATTGATCTTCTCTGCGCATCGCCAAGCACTATGGACTTTATCGCTTCTGGCACCACTTTGCAAAACAAATAATGAGGCAGATATTTTTCTAGGAATATTTGTTAAGCTAGGCATCTCAACGTGATTCTTTTTTTTTTAGAGGACTATACAGACATAATGATTAATTAGATTACTCGTCCCGTTTTTAAACGGCACAGTATTTTGGTGAAAAGGACTTGAGTGGTGTTATGGAAGCGCTGAAAATGGTGCATAAGTTTTTTTTTGTTTTTTTTTTGGGGGGGGTGGGATATTTAAGTAGAATATAAAGGCCAAGGGTAAGTAACCAGGGCATAAGACTGCACACTACACTTCTACCATTTAGAACACTGACTGGTACATCTGTCTGTTACCACTATCAACTTTGTTATCCTTTAAGCAGAGTTTGCTATCAATTACTGGATTTGATCGTGCAAATCCAGCAAACAGGGATGCTTCTGCTGCACACTGCAGAAACCACGCTCAGTAATGCGGAATTTTAAACCCATGAATCTAAAAGGGTTAAGCGTCCGTTACAACGGGGGTGTGGGCCGGGAAGAACCCTAGAAACCCCCACCCCAGTGAAAGACATGATTAAACCCCCCCCCCCCCCCCCAGCATCATAGTCTTAATACACCATCGGCAACGTAAGAGTTGAGCATCGAAGACATCCTAAGAGGGCTAATTCCATTGCAGAAGGTGAATAAGTGTCTGCATCCATCAGCAATCCGTCACCAGCCGGCCCGACCACCCAGACAACTGATCAAATCGAAGGCGCCGCCACAGGAACGACGCGGCGAGCCAAAGCTTCACGGAGGCCGGAGCCAAACGCATTCTTGTCCAGCACGAACCAGAGACGTATCCTGGCAACAGCAGTTTGTTATGAAGTCACAATTTAACAATGGGCCCTGGCTTTCTGTACATGACATCATTAGACTGTCACGCTTCCCGTACGTGAGGGGTTTGGAATCCTGGCGAGACTGCTGTAGCATAAAGAGATGTAGATATTTATCTATACCTTAAAGAAGTGCCATTGATTTAATATGTGCAATATTGTGTATTTTTTACAGTTTATAAGTCGAGACTAAAGCATTTATTAAAACAAAAATAAAACCTTCCATCAGATGTAGCTTGCGATCGAGTGCATTATCCAAAAGTGGGGGGCGGGTGAGTTCTGGCGGGGAGGCGGAGCCACATCAGAACCCCCCCGGTGAGTCCCTCAGAGTGAGCCAAAAGTCAGGCCAGCCTTGGTCACACGCCCCCCCCCAGGGGCAGGGGTGGTGCACTCACAGAAAGACAGGATCTCCCTCTAAATGTTCCCCTGTGAGCGAAACTGATTAAATTGGGACGGCTAAGCAGCCGAAGTGAATAAGACTGCAGCGTCACCGGCGGCACGAGCCCCGTCGGCAGGCCGGACTCCACGAGGCCCCCATTAGTGGGGACACGAGCGGGCGGCCGCAAGACGCACCACTGCCACACAAAGCTGAGCATTCAGGGGCTTTACGCCTTCCAGCGTGAGGAAAAACATCTGCTTCAACATTTCAGAACATCTCAAGGTCACTGTGTCTTGGGGAGGAGAGGGGATGAGCCCCTAAACTAATGGCGTCGGATCCAACCATTGCCAGGGCACTTTGAACACTGAGCCGATAGCAAACAGGCCAGCGTCGCTCCGGCCAGCGCCCCCGCCCCGACGAGAGCCCCCGCCCCGCCTGACATGAGCATCCCATCACTGCCACGTGTCATTCAGGACACAGAGGCTCCAGAACCACACCCCCAGCAAAGCAGGCAGGTGAAAGGCAACAGATGTGCAAGATAAAAGGGAAGCAGGGGAATCACACGGCTCCCCCCCCCCTCCGCCACACACACACCACTGCCATTAACCTGGCCCAGAGTGGGGGTGGGGGAAGGGATTCAGCACAGGGACATCTGCAGTACAGCATGCTAATCAGGTTTGGGGGGGAGGCAGAATGGATGCGGCAATAAGATTTTTTTTTGGGGGGGGGGATTAATGATAAATATCGGCTTGCTGTCAAGGTGGGGCTTAAAGGGCTGCCGCTGCACACACACCAAATGAGCAGTGACAGAACTCCGCCTCCACAAACATGTGGGTGGGGGGAGGGGGTGCGGGGGCAGAACTACTGCAGATTCTGGGTTCTTGTCCAAACCACAGTTAAGGGGAGGCAGGGGACATTAAAACAAAACACCTCTGCAGCTGGGATCAGCACCCCATATACGTCCATGCCTAAGTCTCTCTGTCTCACTGACACAAGACCGGCGAAGCTGACCGGGCCTAATTGGAGGGTGGGGGTGATGGAAAGTGTATGAAGCGGGGTGCTGATGACGTGAACACCGACAGCAACTCCGCATCGGAATTCCTCACGCCAGCCAAAGGGGGGGGCAGGGGAGTTGGACAGCAGTCAGTGCATAAATCTCAATCAGTGGCTGGTATGTGGTGGCGGCAGCGGGGGCCTGGGGTGGGGGGCGCTGAGCGTGGAGCCCCCTCATCATCAGGGCCGCTTACGCCGTGCCCCCCGCCCGCATCCTAACTGCGTCGGAGTTCCTTTAAAAGTCCAACCATGGCCTCACAGATCATCCAGTGACAAGGGGCCGGCCCAGACGGAGCGCTTTCACAGAGGCAGGACACGGGAAGGGACCCCCGAAGGGACAGTGCGGCCACCGTGCAGAGGAGGTCTGACCGGGGCCACAGAGTACGGGTCACTCCGGCCGCGTGACACGAGACACAGAAACTTAATTAAGCGCTGGATCCTCGATGTGCCAGAGATGGGAAAAATGTGGCACCTTATTTAAATGATCCTGTCACTCCCCCACCACAGATCAGGGCCAGGAATGGGGGGGGAGGAGAAGGTCAGGGGGTCCACCCCCCAAACCTGAGCATGGCATGTAGTGGCAAAATAAGAGTGGCAGGCACATGAATCCAGCAAAGCAGCCCCCCCACATTATAAAGCTGAAAAGGTTCACATAGGAAGTAGAGGGAAGAGTGCAGTGACATCCTCCGCTCCACACAAACCCTGTGACACACAACTAAAGCACGACGCGGCGGCTGCAGGAGGCAAAACAGGTCTCTGTTCACTGTAGCCGCTCACGAGGGACTCAACGTGACGGCAAACTTACGGAGGGAGCGACCGGCGCATTAATTGCGATCAGACTCCAGATGAAGCGGTTCTGGCCGATTGCATGGAGCGGACGTGGAAAATTTACACATCATGGGAGAAGCGCACGCTCAGGTGACCAATCAGACTTTATACAAGGTGGGAGAGGATTGGACTACAGCAGCGAGACAGGGTCCAATAATCAGGGCTGACAGAGGGCGTCCCTAAAAGCCATGTGCTCCCCCCACTCCCCCCCCGGCACTTACGATGAGCTGGGACTCGCGACCCATACAGATGACCGTCCTGTTGACTGTGCGCAGGAGCTTCTCGGTGATGATCTGAATGTGCCACTGCGAGGGGCCCTGTGGGATACGGGGACGACAACGACATCGTCATGAGGGCAGGCCTGCTTAGCCGCTCAGAAAAGGCCGTCACAGACCTGCCAGTGTGCGTCTCCCAGTCCCCCGTCCTCCTAAACCTCCCCCTTCTGGGTACGTGCCCTAACTGCCACACTTGTCTACATCACAAGGACACGTGTGATGATTACGTTACGCAACACTGTCCTAACATGTACCCAGGGGCGTGAATCATGAAGCAGGATTTCATGCTAAGCCATGATAACGTTGGATTTAAGGTAGCCTGGGCCAAACGTACGTGAACAAAAGATAAAGTCTATTTAAACTGGGGTACCTTAATTCCGACAAGTTAACACGGCTTAGCATGAAATCCTACTTTCGTGATGCAGGCCCCGAGTCGGGATAGCAAGGTGTTTCTTTAAAGAGCTGCATAGCTATTCAGCAAGAAACCATCAAAGTAGGACCTTGAGTATGGCCCTTAAGTAGCAGCTCCAGGGATTGGCTGACCCTGTCTTCTCAAATGTATGGCGCTTTGGATAAAAGCGTCTGATAAAAACATTTATGTAAATACCTGTAAAAGACACAAAAAGAAAAAAAACTCAAACGCAACGCAGTTCCCCACACAGAATTGGGAATCACAGCGTACAGTGTCACCAAACGGCTTAATGATCCACAGACACTTCAGAAAAATGGCACCACACGCTGTATTTTTAAGCACCCAGAACAGCATCTGTTAACGGCACAGAAGGGCAGACAGATTCCACGGCGAGGGAGCGACTGGCGGCACAGAAACCTCCCCAGGATCCTCCCCAGCCAAGAAATTGGCACGGAGGGGATCTACACGGTGCAGTTTGAGAGCAAGCGAGCGAGAGGGTGGGGCTGGGCTGGCCGTAAAGCGGAGAGGCCATTAGCGGGACACGGAGGGGGTGGGATTTCATCAGATCCGGGGGACACGACGTTGACATTAGAGCCCAGATCACACAGTGTCCAGCTGGAGCTTAGCCAATCAGAGACGTCAAATATCCAAGGCTAAGTGCCTTTAATTCGTTAATGAAAGCTTTGATGAGCTGTTGGAGGTGGTGGTGGGGGGGGGGGGGGGGGGAGCGTGCACTTACCACATCCTTCCTGTTGAGCACCTCCAGGATGTTGCTGAGGAGCTGACAGCAAGCCTCGAACTCCTCCCGCTCCTCCAAGTGGAACTTCAGCTGCTCGGTCACGAGGGGGAGCAGGATCTCACGGCAATCTGCGACCGGGGGGGGAACAAAAGGCTTAATGGCACCGCCGCCGCGGAATATTCCCAGTGAAATTCCACAGGAAGTCACTCCCCAACTTCTAGGAGTCGGCGAGCAGGCGCTCAGTGGCAAAAAGCCAAAAGAACACAGCGGAAGATTGAGAGAGGACAGAGCGGGACTCGACCCCACGGGGAACTGGGCCACGCAGCAGACGCAGAACCAGTGCATCCACGTATCATTAATCCTCATCTGGGATCTTCCCAAAATGAGCCCCCTGGCTGTGTCTAGATAATTAGCCTAATATTCAAGCAAGAGCAGCAGAGAGGACACTGAAATCACTGCAGTCGTTATAGACGGGATGAGTATGGGGTGGGGTGGGGGGGTGGGTTAGGCAGGAAAGTAATAACAGAGAGCCCACTGCAGCCAACGGCATATTACCGCGCTTTCATTAAACCCACAGGGAGCCGAAGGCCAGGGAAGTGACCATCAATATGGCTCAGCAGGGGAAGCGGCGGCCACACTTGGCTGTATATCTCACCGTGGGGGGGGGGGGTTATATTAGCGTGGGCACCACGAGTTACCCCCAACCGTATGCCTGAACGTGGGCCGCGGAGGAGAGCGAGTCGGAGAAGCTCCCCCCCCCCCGATGGAGATCAACATCACCCCACCTAAAGGACACAACCTGGAGGGCGGGGGGCAGCCCTGCCCCCCCCCCCAGCAAAGCCAGAGACTGCCGGGCTGGTCTGCCGCTGCCCTGAAAGCTCTCTAAGCACTAAGAGAGCAAATTATGCAAAGATGCTTCCATCTCTCAACCCCAACTGGAAGAAAACACAGATCTGTTTGGTACATTGTGATACGAGAGGGAGCCTCCCCACCGACACGCGACGCAGCAACCCCACCAGCGGAATGTCACGAAACAAAAAAACACAGAAAGTGACTGTCAAACCAAAAGAGGGAAAAAATGAAATCTTTCTTCCAGTTTGCCAGCCTGCACTTACTCTCCGCTGAAATTATCCAGGCTGCTCCTGCAGAGTCTTGGAATTGAAAGGTTATATGGAAAAAAAAAAGTCTGTAAATAATTCAAAGCTTCATAGATTTGGTCTGCATGATATCCTTACACCCCACAAGCAGGTCCTAATTCTGCAGTATATTATTATAAATGCCAAAAAAGGGGAAACTTGGACACACTAGAGCTACACACTATTGATTGATTTTATTATCTGAAAATAGCATTAGAGCAAAAGATGATTATCTCACGTGAAAGATGCACATTAAGCTGGAAGCCACTCTGGGCATCACATGCTCTGAGATTCGAGTCACATTTCTCCTTAGGCCTGCCGAGTGAAAAGGCTCACATCTGGAACAGCTGGGGTGGAGGGGGGGGGGGCATAGTGCAATGAAAAAGGCCTTATGGCGATAAACATAGACAGGGTCACGGAATCAGAATCATATGAGCTCTTCCCTGGGGAGAAACCCACACCTGATGTGCCTCACCCAGGGCAACGGTCGATTCACGGCTCAGTTCGACTGGCAGACGTCTAACTCCAGAAACGTCATACAGGTTAAAAGATTCACCGAGACCGTTCAACCTGACCACGGTTGTTTTTTCTTAGATGCACATATTCCCTATGCAGAACCTCAGAGCTGCTCATACAGAAGTTCACAAATTAATACTCTGCCTCATTAGTATTTCTTAAGTTTGTGGGACTTGGATTTCAGAGACCAAGCAGGTCCAACACAGAATCCTGTTGAGCAAAGCATTGGCTGAGAGCTTGTGAAGGCAGCGAATATCGACGGTTATAGGGAGCCTCAAGCCACCCCCCCCCCGGCGCCGACAACGGGCGCCAGGACGCTCATCAAGCAGCTAGAGGAGGAAGTGCAATTAAAACTGCTGAATCAATCTTTAATGATCGGTGTGCAGGTAATGCAGAAGCCCACCAATGGGGACAAACTTATTGTCAATAAATCAATTGTTAATTTCCTTATTCTTAATAAATCAATGACAGAACACACAAAAAACATCCTAAAACTTAGAGAGCCGATGCCAGTCCTGCCTGAATGCGTCTGTATTATTACGATGAGCCTCTGTCAATCAGGCCCAAAACTCACTCTACAGCCGGCTAGCACGCTACATTATCTTGGTTACGTGGTAGACTAATTTGCCTGACAGGTACGTTGCTTTAGCAAGTGTCTGCCAATTAAATGCAAATGTCTGCTGTGGACCGAGTCGTCCACCAGCTCCAACGTGGCTCTCGCCAACTTCATGCTCGTGGGAGTTTTACTTACACAAAAACGTTTGGAGGCCAGAACGAAAACTGACTGAACCAATCAGATCGTACAGGAGGTGGGTCCGAGCAACTGGAGGAGGTGGGACCAACCAATCAGATATCTGACCCCACCTCCTCTAGTTGCTTGGACCCACCTCCTCGAGTCAGATTGATGATCTCTCTGAACCAATCACTTTTCGTCCTGCCCTCAGAACATTTTTGTGTAAATAAAACTCCCACGAGCCTCAAATGTGAGCTTTCAGGTCGACTGACAGTTACTGCTCTCTCGCACACGTGAGGAGTGAAGCTGAGCTGCCTGAAAGGGACAGGAAGGTCCAGAGCCCACGGCAAAGCCGCTCTCCTTCACAGCTCTACTGTGACTGACGTGACAAACTCAATCATGGAAAGGAGCAACCTTACTGCTCCACTAAACGCAGGAACAAAGGTCCCTCAAACAGAAACATACCTTTAGGAGACCATTCTTAACAACATCCCCCCCATCCACAACCGCCCCCCTCCCCACCCCCCCAACCACTGCAGAATTACACCGAGTGTAAATTACATGGGACTGCTGAGACACACTTACACAGCAGCCTTCCTAAGCGATGACCATCACGTTGCCATGGCAGCTCAGTCACCTGACCTCTGACACGCACATCCCAGGAATGAAGGACGGGGGGGTAATCTTACCATGCTGAGTGAAGAGGTCACTGTGGACGATGTCGATCATGCAGTACAGCTTCTCCTTGACCAGGCGACCCAGAGGAACTTTGAGGATGAACTCAATGAACAGCTTGCTGATGTAGCAGGGGGAGAGAGAGAAAGGATGTGAGTCCCAGGAAGACGAGAGCAGCATCCTAACAGCCCCCCACCCCAGCCCCCCCCCAGAACATCCCACACGACGCACTGCTCTGGGCTGACAGACACTTCATAGGGAGCGGTGTGATCACCCATCCGTGTTCCAAACACGTGTGTGCAGCCATGTCTTACAAACACATAACGCAAAAACAAAACGCAAATACAGCTTCAGAATCGAGGGCAAAGCTGTGTGTCGGCAGATCGCGGCATTTCCCCGCTCGGGCGGGGGGGGGGGGGCTGAAGGTGTCTCGTAAGAGGACGAGGTCCCCGACGACGCCAGTGGCTGCCTGTTCCGACCTTCCGGCCTGCGAGTCCACGGCAGATGCGGTCAGAAATGTACCAGCGTACCATGTGACCCGACCCCCCCCCCCCCCCCAGGGAAGCTGAGACTGAGGAATCAGGCCTCCATCAGCACTGGACGTCCTCATCACACAGGAGGGCACGGAGAAAGTGGATGGCGGGGGCGGTGCGAGGCTCAGCGGTTTGCCATCGGAAGGTTGCCGGTGCGAATCCCGGGGTCAGCTGAGTGATGTCACCGTTGGGATGCAGAGCAAGGACCTTAACCCCTAATCGCTCTAGGGACTGGCTGACCCTGCTAACTCAAACAAAAAAAAATGCTAAAATAAAGAAAAAGTAGCCAGTTTATACTCCCCACCCCCCCCCCCCCCCCCCCCCCCCCCCCCCCCCCCCCCCCCCCCCCCCCCCACAGTACCGCATAGGGCTTCCCCCCCCACAGTACCGCATAGGGCTTCCCCCCCCGCTGCTTCCCACCGGACAGACACTACTCCCCCCTCTGGTCACTGCTGGTATGTGCAGCATTCTCGCTGACAGCTCTGAACCGTCGCACGGAAGTTCTGCCATGCCTTACTCCCAAAAAATATTCCATTTTCCCTCCCCCTCTCCTCCTCCCAGTGCAGAGAGGGGCTGTGGGGTACGAGCTACTCTCTGCCTGAGCTTGGCCCATCACGCTGCACGGATCACAATCGAGGCACATCCAGCACAACATCCAGCATAAAGCAGCTAAAATTCACCTCATTCCACTTAAACTGAGGCTTCTCCATGATTACGGAGATGACGGGTTCTCAACAGGGATATCTGATGGACGAAATTGCTTTGTTGATGCGCCAATTAGCGGCATAAACAAACAAAAAAATATTGAAAACTACTCACATGGGTAACCTGTTACCTTTATGCATCTGCCTTTCTATAGAAGCCACTTTTAAGTCATTGCAGGCCTTGCACATCCTTACACAAATTCAAATCTTTTGCATTCGGGACTCGTAAACCTTACAAAAGCTCAACGAACTTTGTCAGAAAGATTCCAGGATGTGATGCGCATTGCTGCATGAAGCGCTGGGCATATTCCAAAACCGCTTACAAACTGGCACAGAAATGAATCCGAAAGTCAGCCAGACTGACTGGCAGAAACAAACCCCCCCCAACCCCATGAGATCAGTTTTGGGAAACGGAAACATGCAGATGAGCCCGCGAAGCCGGCATCCTTTAAGCGGCGCTGAAGAAACGGCGCGGTCAACAAACTCATCACCCTCAAAATGACGGCGCTCATTACTACCACTAAAACTGGAACAAATCTATCCGAATTAATAAAATGTGGCAAACAAAGCAGAAAGACAAGTGCGTGTAAGGGAGACAAACGCAATTATTTGGGAATTACCAAGAATTTATAATCTACATGGTTTTCAAACCGGCAGGGCCACTGAAGTAATCACGAGCAACCCACGACTTAACAGACACGTCTATGATCTGAAACGTAATCTACTGTAATTACAAAGCAAATGTAATTGCACGATAATCATATTCATGTCAAAGAAAATTAACGAGCAGATGAGACACATTTGTGGGGCAGCTTCATCGGGTTTCCAAGGCAACCCAATAGCTTTCGGCCAATCCCTGATCCGGGAGACTGAACTATAAAGGTCTCCGAATGAGACAACCGCGGTAATTAACCAGCAGGCGCTCCACGGGAAGACGTGGTCATATCGGCTGTTTACCAGCGCTAGAGGCACATGGTAATGACTTTCAAGGAGCACAACCTAAGAGTCAAGCAGCCGTTCATTTTCATTCAATAGGCTAATTTACCACCCCCCCAAAATGTTAAAGAGGGGCTTCCACCCCTTCCTTTTAAGCACTGCACCTAGTTTTATATTAACCGCATCTACAGAGAGCCGTTTCTAGAATGAGGTTTAATCAGTGTTCCAGAACCTTCCGCGGGGCCTAACACGCGCGTCAGGCCTTTTCAAGACTGACGCAGGTGGGGGTTGGCAATTAACAACAACAATGAACGACAATTAATAGTGACAGCCTTACGGTTACTCAGAGGGAAAACGCTACTAAGGAACAGCGTCGCACAGATCGAGGGATGACAGGCGCAAAAACAGAGAAACAAAGATATCACCTGAGCTCCTTCGGATCGAAAACCAGTTTGACGTCATTGACGATGGTGGGAACGTACTTCAGGGCAGCATTCTGGAGGGGAGAGAGAGAGAGAGATCTGAATCACAGAAGAACAGCTGCAGCCCACTGAAGATGAAAAGGTACCATCCAGCACAAAAAAAAGCAATGGTCCACATTGAGTATTTCTAACCATAATTAATGTAATGTAAACAAGAGCAGGAAACGACTTCATCCAAACAGGATGTGACATCACACGCTCCTCTTTAACAGAGCCAGCCTACATACGGAATACAATCAAATGTCCGGGTTTGAAGCCCATTCAGTCATTTGGGTCTCCTGGATCTGACTGCACGTCTATCTTAGTTCCATTTCACACACCTCCAGCTCTTATTAGGCTCAGGCGAAGCCCCTAATTTTTCCCGTTTTTATTCCTTAAAAAGAGAAGCTTTCAAGAAATACAGTGGGTTAAAAAATCAACTGAGAAGCTACAGTCAATGCAGCAGTGCTATGGAGAGCAGTTTCTAGAATGAGGTTTAATCAAAAGTGTTCCAGAACCAGCCTTCCGCGGTTGAACAATGAACGACAATTAATAGTGACCACGGAGTCAGCAACTTCTGAAGGTCAGTTCAGGGATAGAAAAGGGGGTCTTTAATATGGCACCACAATATAAAGGACATATGACCAACAAACACTAAATACACACTTTAAAACACAACATTAAAGTAATCAGGCTGATCGGTGGCAAGGCGATAATGAACTGCGCCTCAGAAGTGCACGGTGATCCACACTTGCAGCAGGACGCTGCTACGTATCCCACCAACGGCTGCACCCAGAGGGAGATGAAATCAGCAGCACATCAGCAGTCTGCCCGGCTGATTAAAACCATTAATAATGACGATTAATTACTCTGTGCCTGGAGCCAGGGCCACGCGGAGAAGAAATGTGCTATTTGGTGCCAGCTGACACAATGCAGTGACTTGACACGTCTATTAGTCTGCTGCAAGGAGAGACACTGGAGATCGGTGAATATCAGTAGCATCGTCAGATTTCAGGCAGCGCAGTGTTTCTCAGAAAGCCGCAATCCACAGCGACAGCCATTTCCGGAGAAGGGCTTTGACTTTACACTTTGTTATTAAATATTAAGGATTAAATCCCAGAACTATAACAACTGCAGGGTATGTGGTTCCTGACACTCCATGAGGGTTAATTACAGCAAGTGTCAGAAAAATGGCATCTGGCTTTCGTCAGTGTCAATCATTTACTGTTTGAAACCGCCTCCCCCGTTAGAGGGTGATGTTTAGAGTGCTTGTGCTACCGATGACAGCCGATCAATCGAGAGCCAGGGCACCGCAGAGACCAGCACCGAACCAGCGCAGGGGGTCAAGGAGCGCAGAGGGTCAAGGAGGGCTTGTGCACAGTGAGCCAGCAGAGAAGAGCGGGTCACAGAAAGAACAACCTTTACTCCCACTCTGGATTATAAGGAGCCACAAATCATCCAAAGTTCAGGCCTGGGGTGTTAAGTAACATGGGAGACGGCTGCCATTTTTGCCTTTTTAACAGGGAACGCTTCTGCTTTGGGTTTAATGTGGAGACACTTTTGTCGCAAGCAAGCCACGACACCCCCGAGTCCAAGTTTAATGGATGACGCCGGTTCGTGCGCTCCACTCTGTCCGCCGGCCTGATTCATCAGGCATAGCCTTGGGGTCACAGACGCCTGAATTTTGCCAGACTAACACTTCTGGCCGCCCTCCAGGCAGAAATGCGTTTATCAGGAGTCCCAATGCGCCGGAGGAGCGGCTCTGGGATGGAGCGCCGGCGCCAGATGGGACACGACGGCGGCCCGTTGCCTCGCGGGACCAGGCCGCATGAGGGCACGGCGTGTGTTTCCAGATGCACACCTAGCAGCCTGGGCTTAACGCGGCTGGAATGTCAAACGAGTCGGATGTTGCGTTTAGGAAACATGACTCACGCGCGGCAGTCCTTGGCGTCACTAAAATAAACCCCAGATGCCTCCCACTCTATCTTAACCCAATAGATTGGGCCTAATTAAGCAGTGCATTTATTTAATTGCAAAACTAGATTTGTTACGTTTTCCTAATGAGCTGTTAATTCGTTTCCAGTCCGACATCAGCCGTTAATATAGCCACTCTCTTCCAGCACTCAGACGTCCTTTCCTTAATTGTTTGTACAGCTATTGGATTGTTCAAGTTAGGGTCAGATGGGGTTGCCCTGGATTGTTTATCGCTAGGGTAACGGTGCGGTGTAGCCTTCCTGAAAACACTAGCGGCTCCCCAACAGTCATTTATCCCATCCTGTTGAAGCTTGTTTGTCAGATAATGGCGGCTTCACTCCTTGTCCTTCAAACTGCTGGTTAAGTGAGGCCTCACGATCTGGCCCATAACTCCCAGGGACGGCTGGAGCAGTCCTGCTTCTATTGAACTAAGACTTCGTATGAATTTGTGGATCTTTGGGAGATTTGAAGGGCACCGGCACATCACAAGACACCCCACAGGCCCAAATATTTGCCTGCCGGTGATTATACTCGATACCTCAGGACGAGTTCAGCGAGGCAAAATGAATTAATTTACCGGGTGCGAGTATCTACTCTCGTCAGCACTTCATCTGCTCGACTCCTCAGCCCAGAAAGTTTGCTTTTCTGCACCATTAATATTTATGGAGCAACTGTCCCCGACAGCTGTCCAGCAGATCTCCGCCGGATGGACGGAGGGAACGCGGAGTGCCATTTGCACGACCATAAGCCTAGCCTGCTGAGGGAGGGACAGCTGTAGGGGACACAATGGGACGCGGAGCATTTCCTTGGCACCGGTTAACGTCTCCGGCGGAGGAGACCGGCTCAGCACCCAGGCCCGTCTCCCAGAACCATTCCACAAGGTCAGATTTCACGCGCTGGTCTGCTAATAATGAACCAAATAGCATAGCAGCTGTCTGCTAATTAAACCGAAACCCGGAGCCCTATGCCCAACCTTCCGAGGGGTGATAATGATGCGAAAGACGTAAACATTAAGGTAACAAGGAACAGGGGCAGGGCCACAGGAACACTGGCCAGAGCTGAAAGCTGATTGGCCAGCAGCATTCCCCATCCCCTGTCACTCACCAATACAGAACATGTTATTGGCTAACAATGTGGTTGGCTCCTCTACATAAATTATAGCCCCTCCTATGCCGCCCACCTTAAAAAAAAATTAATAAATAACAAATGGGACACAGACAAGATCAGGAGTAGAAGGGAGTTGGAGGAGGCAGGAAGGATCAGGAGAAGGACGCACAGCACAGGACAGGAAAGCGGCTTTGATTCTTTGAGAAGAAGCTAAACAGGAAGAACACAGAAGTTCCCTTCCAGGCTGCATGGTGAAGAGACAATGAGAAAGGAACAGATGAGGACACAGAATGAGGAAGTTCAGCAGGAAAAAAAAGAGAGGAGAACTAAAAGGGAAAGGTGTGGTTAACCACTGTCGAGAAAACAATGCGGCAACCAAGATCGCGACCAAGCTAATCTTGGCGCCTTGCGGTTAAGTAGGTCACAGATCACCAAACATCCCAGGACAAATAAAGGCATCGCTACGTGAAGTCCATCATCTTCACTGGGCCGGGGCGGTGATGAAGACGGCAGACCGTCGCACCTTGACTGTGTCGATGCTCTCCGAGCCGTCGCTCATCATGTCGCTGAAGGACGTGAAGAGGCTGCGCAGGGACTCCACAAAGTCGGCCTCTCCCTTGTTCTCGTACAGCCTGCGGGGAGAAAACACACATCGGCTTTATGGCATGCGACACGGCACCGTGGTTCTCACCGTGAGGCCACGGGAGATCGGCTTTGCCGCAGCGACGATCAGAGAGCGAGCAAAATGGCACTGGTACCAGCGCCGGAACCCACGGGCCGTTTTCACACGGCACAGAAGAACCACACTGTACAATACTCAGGCAGAATCACAATGGGCTTACAGGAATAGGAAAACCTTACACAAGTATGTAATCATAGGCTCAAACTCAGCTATAGATAATGTTTAAATAATGCAGTAAAAAAGAACTACCCAGCTTCTGCTTAATGGACCAACTTCAGAAACAGCAGAGGTTTAAAAAAAAGGAAAAAAAAGGGAAAAAAAAAAAAACACACACAGATCGAGCTGAAGGAACAGAGATGTGCAGCCCTGAGGAACAAAGCAGCTTCCATAGGAGAAATGCCCGGCAAACATCCACCACAGCTGTGCGCGGCACAGGGTTCGAGGCACACGGACACGCCCCTCCTCAGCCAGATTGCTGCCGGATGAATGTTCAGCTGGGGGGGGGTGGGGAGACTTATGGTGCGTTCGATTATTTCTCTCCAAGTCGGAACTCGGATGAAAACGTCACGAAGCGTCACGAAAAACGTCACTTCCCGTCGGAAACACGCCCCTTTTATGACGTTGAAGTCAGACCAGATTTTGTTGCCCGAGTTGCCCCTGTGACGTAATTTCAACCTGGCGACTTGGTTTGTTTGTAGTTTGTTTACCGATCGAAAAAAGAATATCGCTATGAATGTACTAAAATATTTTATAAAAGCTTTTAATGTGGTTTGACTGGTTCGTGTTTCTTGTTTGTCTCTCGGAAAAATCTCCAATTCTCCATTTTCTCCATTTGGAAAACTCCAAATCTGCTAAAATATAAAGCAACAACACACAGCAACGTGTTCATGGAAGCAGCCATGTTTGTTCCGAGATGTGGGTAGCTCGAACGGGAGATTGTCGGACGTGATGTCACTCAACTCGGAATTTCCGAGTTCCGAGAGAAAAACGAACGCACCATAACACTGACCCAACATCCACTTCAAAGAAAGGACTCCTGATCAGTACGAGGTGGATGAAGAACCCTGAGGGCAGCAATGGCAGGGAAACAAATGCCACACATCAGTGACACAGACGTCATTGCATGAAGCCTGCAGCTAGGGGGGTGCTTTAATGCACAGGCTGATGCCCTGGGGCCTCTACTAACCATGTTTAATTAAATTTTAAACCCCCCCCACAAGGTCAACAACTTTTATCGTGTTGGAAAATAGCCCAGGGGACTATGACCATGTTAATATGCTAGAGGCAGCAATGCTTCCTGCTGGGATAAGAACCGCGGAACACGATCGCGGTGCAGGGGCGCATTGCCAAAAAGCACAGCTGATAACTATGTTACAAACATATATAGTTGGAACCATGCGACTGAATGGGTCAAACTATGTAACGGGAGCTTTTGGGAAACGTAACCAAGGTGAGAGCCTAAAGACAGAAAAACAAAACACATTCACATGCCAACACCGGTGTGACCCTTGCTATCGGCAAAACGTGACACGTTTCTCCTTGAGGAACGACCGCTGTAGTCAGAAACTGGAGAACGCTGAACAGAAAACAATTAGGAAAACATTTTCTTTTTAAAATGGCACAAAACTGGCCTCCTGCCAAAAACACAGACGAGACAACGCAGAGGCCTGAGATTACAAAGACGCTCATGAATCTCCGCTAACTGGGCATGGCGAGGGGCTCCTGCAGAGCGCTGCACCTAATGGTCCATCAAGCTTCGGTGGAGACGCCGAAGCAACCACTCTGACTCCCGGGGGAGGAGGCAGCCATGTTTAGCGATTACCACCCTCAACAGCAGACGCGTCTCCTGTGAGGCGGCAAAAGGCGGTCGGGGATCTCCACAGACCTGCGGACCCAAGGTGGTGTCCGGACAATGACGGGAGCGCATGAAACCACCGGCGTTCCTCTTTGCCGAGTGCTGCGGGAGTAAGGAGCACTGTCACGGTCACGACAGGCTGTTCTCCACTCCAGCAGAGAAGCCGTCTCTCTACCACGGCAACAGCCCCGATCGTTAATCACCCCAAATCGAGCTTTGCCATTCATCTGCCTGGGATCTCTGCAGGTTTACTAACCTAGCGTCCGTTATAAGCACCCCTCTGCCGGAGAAGCTATTACACCTGTCCGTCACGCGCAAGTAGGCCTCAGCTAATGTCTCCAATAATCGGTAACCCAGGATTACAGAGGGAACAACCAAGCTACTGACCTCTGCTACTCACTAAAGTCACTGATTATGAAAGCAAATCCATCAAAAATAAAAAAACATAACCCGTTTCTCCAGTTCTGAGAAAGACAGCCTGAATGAACGTGCTGAAAGACTCACGTCTCAACTGGGGCTGGCAGCTAAGCAACAACCAAATTAATTAAAAAGCTAATTACTGATCACTAGGCCATATCTGCCGTATCTACAGCATCTAATTGCCATGAGTTCCAGCGCAGCGTGAGATAACACGGGGCTCCTAGCTTTAGCTACCTTCACTCAGCTCTCTGTCATAATTATCGCAAGACGTACATCGGCATGAATATTTAAAATTCCTGCATTCGAATGACTAAAATATTCAGAAACCAGCGAAATTATGAGTAATTACGGCTGTAAAGAAGTGTCCTGCCGGCAGCTCTGTCGGTGATTTGAAGACGCGGTAAATCCAAATAAATAAATAAACAAGTAAACAGAAGACAGACGGGAGATAAATCGAGCTATGGGTGACATCGCCGGCAGTCGTGGACGCCGCCGCATCTTCGCATTAAACACCGTTATGCAAAATACACTTCAGAAATGCGACCGCTCTCATCCCCGCAACAAGAATGCACTCAGACCCAGTGCGTATGCAAATGTGACCCCTTCCATCACCTTAGATTGCTCCAGGAGCACTTAGAGACGTCACGTTCAAGATTTGTAGAGCCGGAAAACAGTGGCATTAACACTGCTTATTAAACAAGGAGGCAGGACACAGAATCCGCTCACCTGACAAGCTACTTATTAACAGCAACCAGAATAACCTGCTAACAGCTTACGAACGATAGGGAGATACGTACGCACAACACCAACAGGATCATGCAGTGGGAGATTTAACTGCATCATTTTAATTTACTATGTTTTTCTGTGAAAGAAAAGCATGTGGGTCTCATGGTGAGTTCAAAACGACTTCAATGTTTAAGAGGCATCACTTACTCATGGGTCAGCAGGAGTATGTCAGTCCGTTCCCCCTCTTCCCAGGCTCTAATGGAGACCAAGCTTCTACCAGCACATCCCCCTCCCCCCCGGAAGACAAGCCCCATGGCCTTGCCACAACCACTCGGCACTCACTGGTTGAAGAGCACCCTGGAGCGGACGATGAACTTGAAGATGTACTCCATGGCCTTCATGGCCTTCAGCAGCTGGTCGCTTAGTTTCTCCGCATTTTCCACGTAGTTCTTCAGGACCTTGGTCAGCTTCCTGCACAGGGAAAACACCCTCAGCTCCCACACCGCAAGGCCGGGGAAACATTCCACGCCACACTGGGGATGCAAGGTCTGAAGACCGGCCACCAGAAATGACCTGCAGTTACATCCCGTGAAAATAAGCATCCTTTATAACGACAGCTATACTGCGAGGTGTGGTTGATCTGAACACTGCAGGCATATAAATCAATGCACGGCAACCAGCACCAATGCAGTCTGCTGCTAAAATTTCCATCGACTGGAGACTTCAGTGTCCCCATACCCGTCTACATTTATTCAAAGTCAGGTCAGCCAGTCTCTGGAGTAACTGGGCCCCATAATTCTGGCCGCCATGGGACTTGAACTAGGGACCTTCCAATCACAGGTAAATTGCCCTAACACTACCCCTTGAGCCCTGGATGCTTTCCTACGCTTATTTAATGTGAGCGTCAGCTGTGATCCTGGCCATGCAGTAAATATAGACACACCCACTGAAAATACGAGCTGCGCTGGGAACGCTGCCTTACCCACGCGTGCATTTATTTTGATGGCCAGAGTTCGGCTTTTTCCTCTCAGGGCTAGAAAAGGCTCTTGCGCAATAAGGAAATAAGAATCTGACAGGTTGTTTGCTCATACAGGGGTTTGTTTGCCACACCTCATGTGCAAAATGTTACTAGCATATGGGTAAGCAGGCTGGGTGCGATATTATCCTGGTGAAATGATGATCAAGCCTGAATCGCAGCCATTTCTCCACACTTTGGCAGCAGCTGGTGTGAAGCCTATTATCCAGCCAATAAAACCATAACGCAATAAGCAAAACTGGAAGGGACAGCACTGTGGCTTCTGTGTTCATCTTCTCTGTCTGGGGCCTCCTGATCAGCCCCTATGATCAGTGACAATGTTACACAAAGCCATGCTCTTTGCTGAAAGTTATTTTCTCTCTTTTTTTTTTTACCCTTTAAAGGGGTTAAAGCCTAGTTTCTTGTTTTATCTGCCCATATTCGACACTGTATAGCCATTGCAGGCTGGAAAACATTACACAATGTTGTTTAGGTGCAGCATTACCAGTCTTCTGACAAAACGAAACCGCAGGCAGTCCCTTCGCCGTGCCCATAAACAGCTAGCATGTCCGCCTCTGGTCAGCTTGTACGCTTCAATTTCAGCTCACTGTCAAAGGGCAGCCATATGCCGTATAACATTGTTGGCCTACGGTCTGCGTTTCACAATGATAAACGCAAACCCGCAGCCAACACACTCATAAACACCCCATTTCCCGCTTTCTGTGACTTTTATACATGATTTAATAGCCTTCCCAGCACACAGCTACGCAATTAGGTATGGAGGGGGGTGCAGGCAGTCCCTGAAAGCCATTCATTTATCCAGCCAGAGACAAGGGACAGTTTCAGCAAGTGTGTTAAAATGCATGATGCGTCATTCATGAACAGACTCCCAGAAAAGTAGAGAAAAGGACTCCATCATAAAATATTTCTTGTATATGTTTATATATACTAAATCTGTGGATGAATTTATTTACATATGCATTATATATATATATATATATATATATATATATATATATATATATATATATATATATATATATATATATATATATATAT